AGTGGCGCTGAAGAAGATAGTTATATAAATGATTATGATAGATTTTACTAATATAAATAATTCTACTAGAACAAGTCTATCAATACCTTGGTTTTATTGCTAGTATGATTTGGAGAACTCGTAGGTTTAATTGTTGGGATTCCAGGAAGAACTGTTGACGTGCCGTATAGTGTTGATCTGGTTGGTGGTACTGGTGTTACTGAATGTGGACTGGACAACGTAGGAGACTGTTGATTTGGAGAACTGATAGGTTTAATTGTTGGAATTCCAGGAAGAACTGTTGACGTTCTGCATAGTGTTGATCTGGTTGGTGGTGCTGGTGTTACTGAAAGCGGCGAACTGGACAACGTAGGAGACTGTTGACCAACTGTAAATCATTACAGCAAAGTTGATAAGTCAATTTTAAACATATCCATTCGTCATAAATGGTTACAGTAATCCTATTGCCTAAAAAAGGCTTCATTACTTATTTAAATTGTACTTCGTGAGCTTTGATTGCAAATTTTAATACTTAAAACATGGGAAGGATTCAATTTATGGCGAAATCTGAATGCAGAAGTAAAACTGCAGATAAAAGCAAAAATCATTCAGTTTCCACATTGTACTGTATATATTTCACGTAGATGTATTGATGACAATTTCATTTAGACATTCAGACAATGAGGCATTGACACAACAACAGGCCATCTCCTAAACTAATAGACTCTCTGGGTCTGTGTAGCGTTTTCTCATTTCGTGGCGCTACAATCGATTGTTGTATTTCGAGAAAAAAAAATCATTAAATGAAGTTTACAATTTGCTAATATTTATGACGTCAACTTAATTGTATGACGTCATATTGATGTCATTTAACGCCAATGTAAAACTTACATGTTAAACTACCTAGAGCCTTGAAAATAATGCAAGGGTTACTGACAGATGACGGGGGTGGCTTCCAAAACTCTATTGTACAGTTTGTGAATTCAATGATGATAAGCCTTCCGTCTAAAATGGATTCGGATAATGGACGCCAGTCTAGATGTACAAACTGGGGATTGATTTGTGAACAATGTTAATGTCTACAATTATGGACTGCAGAACGACATAGCGAGTCCCGTTACCAAATCTTTCCTGTGAGATTGTCTGATGGAATGTATTTTTTGAGATGGTGATGACTAATAATAGATAATAGATAATTCGATCCGGGATGACACGAGTGAACTTTTTGGTAACAGGGAAAGAAATATTTGAAGCGAGTGTTCAGTGTTAGCGGTAATGATAATTGTACTGGCATTTGAGATGAACATGGGATGACATTAATGGATTGCCATATACTATAGTTACCTGCTTTTCCTTTTTAAGAGAAAATATGTTCACAAAATTCGTTGTTTCGAGCAACCCCCCTCTTGAATCGTCAAAGTAAAACACATGTTTGCTTCTACACTGACCATGGAAGGTTTTGACGTTTTTAAAATTCACGTCCTCCGACGGTGGAGTATCTGTTAGATCAAACACAGGATATGGACTGTCTCTTGA